AAGATATAATTTTAGCACTCCTTATTTTTTTTAAATCCCTATATATTATACATATAAATTGTAACAATTAAAGTGTGTAGGTACTTTATAGTAGCCAGTAGGTACCTAATGTTATATTGCTTTTGTAATACGTATCTGAATATTCAATATGGTTTTTCTATTTTTGACTTATGCTAAATGCATGTATTCTATTGTATTCTGCCACTTTATGGTTCACCGTATTACATATTTTATTGTTAACCTGCAACTCATATTTATTACCTTTCGCTCGGCGGAATTCGCTTGTTGCGCTTAGTAAGTACTTACCTGCTTACTTAAACGCTTATACCAATATAAGTATAACGTATAACCATAGTGGTACRGGCACCTATATACCAATTACCAGTACATAGGTTTTAATATTTATTACATAATGTAATCCATAGATAATATATACATGGATAGGACATACATAGATAATATATGTATGTATATATWTATGTTTATATTATCTWTGGGTATAACGAAGTTAAAACCGAGRATACCAAGAATTTAATACGGCTCAACTTTTAAACCAATATAGTTACCTGCAGTTGTAACCATAATTATTACGTCCTCGCGTGACATGACACATGGGTAGGGTACACGACGTAGTTGTGAATCCGACTTAACTTATAACCTAAATTTTTTAAGTCCTAACCGTGTTCATTGATTTATTTTAATTAATGGAAAATTAACATCTTATAGCACTTATAGTTACCCACATGGCTGCATATCATGTTGTAGGGTTGTAGGCAGCCAACTAGGTAGGTACCATATAATATTTTATCATGCTTCAATACTTGTTACTTGTTAGTAAATGCTGGTAGGTACTCAGTATAGAGCAGACTTTTTTTTTAATCATTATACTAACCAACTAACCTAACGTCGAGAAAAAATTTAACAATAAAGTTTCCGATATTCTAGGTGGTACACATGTTGCGCATCCAAATTAGATCCGCCTACTATAAAGGTTAGGTTAGGTTAGGTCAAATTTTTTTTAAAAATTTCATGGTG